TTTCTCTTTCTCAGTTGGCACCATGTTAGCCTCTGTCCTGATACAATGTTTGAGGGATTGAGACACGTCCTCTTGACCAATGTTGGGACCAGGGGAACTACAGAGAGAAGAACACTATGAGTCAGATAAAGAACAAAGTATTCAGAGTTCTAAACTACGGGTCTCAGAAGAGTTCCTAAGCTGAGAGGTGAGCGGGAAAACTCCTCATTGCAAAGCTCTCCGAGCAGCTGGCCAACGCCAGGTGTTGCAAGCATTTTACCTTCTGGCCTGCTCATTCCATTCTCCCAAGCCTCATGGGTGATGGTTTAGATCTTCCCGACAGGTGCTGGCGCCAGTAATGCTGCTGGTACTGAGCCTGCCCCTGAAGCACCTACCTACATTCTTTGACACGTAGTTTTGATGCCTCTTTGTGTTTGAGAGGGCTCGGCAAGCACTATCTTGGTCAAAAAACACCCCCCTGATTTCTCCTCCATCTCCTACCCTCGGGTTAATGACTTCCTGCTCTGTATTACTTCTAGATCACCTCTATCCTATATGGCAAATTACGCAGAACTTGTGGAATATCTTCCTTCATCTTTCCTATCAAACTGAACTTAACCATTGTGACTCTCTTATTTCCAGAGCTCCACTGACCACCTGCAACATAGCAAATGCACACACCACTTGTGGGTGCTGGTTTCGGTAAAGGGATTTTGATGTGGGGGTGTCATTGATGTGGGGAATTAATGGAATGCCAGTGTCGCATCTCGGATAACTTTTTAGTGCTTCTGGTTTAGTAAGGGTTGGTTATCCAATATCTATTCCAGGAAATTTTATCAGCCCTGTAGCTCTCTACCTCTGTCTGTCTGCCGTCTCTTACAACAGACTGGGTAAATAGCATGAAAATTAGGGGTGGCTGCACATTGGCCTGCGGTGCACCCAACCTGTGAAATTGCAACAAAGGAAAACAACTATGCTTCCTTATGAGGTGCTTGTCAATGTCCATTTTAGTTAAAATGTCCTTTTAACATAAAGGAGGTAAAAGTTCAGATGCACATCATGGAATATTCAACACATTGCTGGCATTCTGAGGGGAATTAGGCTGGTTAAGTGACTCCTGGGCTGTTCTCACCTATTCCGAGCTGCAGATGCATTTTGATTGGACAGTTGCCAGAGCTCATTAACATAACGTACCCTGACCCAGGATAAGGAACAGTGTCTGCTCAGAAGATGACCAGTCGCTGCTGGGAGCCCAACCAGAGGAGAGATTTTTGCGACATGGTATCGGCGGCATCTGCACGAGAAGTCAGAAGGTAAGGAAGCCAGAAATCCCAAGAAGGGGCAAATGTAGGGATTATTGTAAAGGCTCTCCCAGGCCTAACGTGTTCTCTTTGTTTTGGTTTGTCTTCATGGGAATAATGAAATTAAATACACTTTGACCAAGGTGCTTTAAAAAAGAGATCTGGACAAACTTTACTTTTTTTTTTAAGCACGGAGGGAAAAAAAATATTTTTTAAGGTTACAAAACAGTCTTCTGTATTTTTGGTAACTTTCTGGTAACTTTCAGGAGAATATCAAATTAATGTTCATTCATTTGGCAAAAGTTTATATTGGGAATAAATCCAAATAGCAGTGCAACTTTTCTGTTGTAAGATTTTTTTTTCTCTCTCTTAATGTAAAACAAATGAGAAAATTATGTTTATACTGCCTAGGCTTAAAACACTGCTTTTGATTGTTGACAATATAGATCTTATTTTCCAAGATTTCTTTTTAAGAGTTTATTTATTTGTTTGAAAGGTAGAGTGATACCAAGAGACAGGGAAAGACGGAGGGAGAAAGAAATTTTCCATCTATTTGTTCGCTCTGTAATGGCCACAAATGCCAGGGCTGGTCCGAGCAGAATCCAGGAGCCTGGAACTCCATCTGGGTCTCCCACCTGAGTGGCAGGGACCCAAATACTTGGGCTGTCATCAGCTACTCTCTTAGACAAATTAGCAGGGAGTGAGATTGGAAGTACGGCAGCTGGGACTAGAACCAACATTTGAATATCCACATTATAGGCAGCAGCCTAACCTAGTATGCCATAATACCAGCTCCTTTCCAAGTTTTTTTTTTTTAATCAAAGCCTATCGCCATTAGTTATAGTAGAATTTGGGATACCAGATGCACAGTTGTTTCTGCTCAAAGAGTTAAGTCCGTGGTTAGATATTTGCATCTTCTGTATTTGTGTTTAAGTTCTTTGAATGAAATCAACCACTGCTTCAGAAACTGAATGTTTTTAGAAGTTTTGTTTAAACTCAGGGGGCTTTAGTCTTAACTAGCAATACTTGAATTGGAGAGGTAGGGACTTCAACCCTTGGGACCTGTGAGCTACCACTAGATCATAGCTTGTACTGAATAGGTGTGATGGGCAAGGGAAGAGACTTGGTCCAGCTTGTTATTCAGTAATTTAATGTGTCTAGACTCAGATCAACTGTATCCTCTCTGTATCAACTGCCCTTAAGGAGAGCTCAGTGATAGGCAAGTATTAGGGTTAGAGCAAGTTAAAGAATTGAAGAACAGACTCCGTGGGTCTTCCTAAAGTTTGGATCACTAATCTAACTTGTAGTTTGAGTTCATTATTAAATAGCTCCACATATGTTAAATAGTTCCATCATTATGTTTCTTGTTTTTGTGTGAAAGCCAGCAAATGGAAATGCTGTACATGTGAAAATATTTTATCTCCTATCAACAAGACTTTACATCCCCAGTGTGATCCGGTTTTCACCCTTAGGGTGGAGTCTTTCACATTTTGTTCTTTTTTCTTCCACGTCTCTTTCTTCCTTCCTATTCCTTTTTCCCTTTAACCAACTACAGGTAGAAATTATATTTCCTCTCGTGAAGGAAGAAATGCAGTTTGAATAAATATCTTTAAATATAATTTACGTAATGTAATCAAAGGAGTGAGACTTCTTAAGAGGGAGACGGAAAGTCATGTTGCTGAGAAAGGTTGGAAAGTCTTAAGTGGTACTTTGGTTGACATAAAGGTTGAGAAACACAATTTCATTTATCTTTATTATTTTAGAGGTTGTTAAATGTTTGGTCATATTTACTTCAAATGCATGTATATAATTTTTTTCCTTGCACATATATTAGGGCCCAGTGGCATGGCCTAGCAGCTAAAGTCCTCGTCTTGAAGGCCCCGGGATCCCATATGGGCGCCGGTTCTAATCCTGGCAGCTCCAATTCCCATCCAACTCCCTGCTTGTGGCCTGGGAAAGCAGTTGAGGACGGCCCAAAGCTTTGGGACCCTGCACCCGTGTGGGAGACCTGGAAGAAGTTCGTGGCTCCTGGCTTCAGATTGGCATAGCATCGGCCATTGCGCTACCTAGGGGAGTGAATCATCGGACTGAAGATCTTCCTCTTTGTCTCTCCTCTTCTCTGTATATCTGACTTTCCAATAAAATAAATAAATCTTAAAAATAAAGAAAATACATATATTAATATTACAGAGCAGGGGATTCATTACCTGACCATAATGTAGAAAAAGAAGCTCATGTTCACAATTTTTTATATATATATATATTTTTTTTAATATTTTATTTTTTTTGGAAAGGCAGATTTACAGAGAGGAGAGACAGAAAGATTTTCTGTCCTCTAGTTCACTACACAATGGCCGGAGCTAAGCCGATCCAAGCCAGGAGCCTGGAGATTCTTCCAGGTCTCCCATGTGGGTGCAGGGTTCCAAGGCTATGGGTCACTATTCACTGCTTTCCCAGGCCACAAACAGGGAGCTGGATGGGAAGTGGATCAACGAGGGCATGATCTGGCACTGTTATAAGATCCCAGCACATGCAAGGCAAGGATTTATGTACTGAGCTATCCACACCAGACCCCTTGGTCACCAATTTTATTTTTATTTTTTTTTTATTATTTTTTTTTATTGGAAAGGCGGATATACCGAGAGGAGAGACAGAGAGGAAGATCTTCCGTCCGATGATTCACTCCCCAAGTGAGCGCAATGGGTCGATACTATGCCGATCCGAAGCCAGGAGCCTCTTCCGGGTCTCCCACGCGGGTGCAGGTTCCCAAAGCTTTGGGCCGTCCTCGACTGCTTTCCCGGGCCATAGGCAGGGAGCTGGAAGGGAAGCGGGGCTGCCGGGATTAGAACCGGTGCCCATATGGGATCCCGGGCGTGCAAGGCGAGGACCTTTAACCACTTGCGCCACCGCGCCGGGCCCTGGTCACCATTTTTAAAAAAGCATTTCTCAAACAGAAAATTTCACTGCATCCCACCCCACATTTCTCTGGAGATGTTGTGGTTTTGCTATTAGCATCCAGCTGGTTGAGAGCAAGGAGGCTTCTTAAACTTCTACTGTGTGCAAGATAGCTTTACTCAATGGAGAGCTATCTAGCCCAAAATGTTAACAGTGCTGAGATAAAGCAGCCTATTGCCAAGGAATCATATATAAGCTGATGACACTTGCAAATGTCAAGTACATGTGGAACTTACTGAAGAGACCACATCTAATTCCTCATTTGGGTTTAAACATACTGCTAGAAAAATTCAATGTATCATTCTCCTCTTGTAATGTTAGCCACATCATGAGCCGTGGGCCAGCTCTCTGCCAGGTGTGTGCAGGGAAAAGGTTCTTCCCATTGACTACACATGACAACAGTGCCTACCCAGACCTCCACACCCTGATCTAGTGATGTGACAGAAGCCCAAATTACAGCGATCAAAGCAATGGTCACTGTGCTTTCAATTCCTGGGGGTCACCAATGGTTTCTGTCTTGTTTCTTAGTTGTATTTAGAACTTGCAAAAATGCCAGTGAAACAGACTTTTCTGTCAGATGAGTACTTGTTCTTATCACTGGAATGGTCAGTCTTCCTATTGTTTGTTTTGTTTTTAGCCCTGCAAATTAATCAGGCGTATGCTGCTTGTGTGAAGATCCAACTATATCAAAAACCTTGAGAGCAGAATACTCGAGCACGCCTGAAGGAGTCTGATAGAACCCCGTGGTGTCCTGTCCTTGTTATCATGGCACCGGATGACTTAGAAGAAAAAGAGGTGTTGAACTGGGATATTAATGATATGAAACTGCCACAGGTATGTTACCTGCTGTAGGACTGAGCCTTCAGCATTTGATTAAGATGCCTTGGGTATATTAAGCTGCTAGGACCTATGTGGAAATTGGTGAGGGTCCCACGGGTAAGCTTGCCTCCTACAAAGCTTCGCCTGAATGTCCAACTGGGGGATTTTAAGGATGAGGAACCAGGAGCTCTGGTTTGAGCCAGGCTTTATCTACCTCACCCCCTAGTCAGAAACTGAGGAAAACAAGTGCTTGCCAAGCTTCTCTTGCTAAGCTAATTTGGTTCAGATTGTTCTCACCCTGGCTGACTGGTTTCACAAAGTTGATAATGATTTTTTAAATGTTATATTTAATGATGCTCACCTAGTTGAGAAGGATACATGCCCACATGAATTCATACTGATTTCTTTGCTGATGGAGTGACTCTTAATCATGTGCAAGCCCCCAGGTGTCCTTATTTGTCTTAGTAATAGTTTTAAACTAAACCTATAATTGAAATGTTCTGGAATGTTCTAATGATAGCGCTCCAATAGAATATAGAACTTATAGAACTGTTCACAGCAGGCACCTCTGGGGGATTGCTCTGCAGACATAAGGTGACTTTCATGTCATTGTTTTCTTTGCCTTGCTCCTGGGCATTTGATTTGATAACTGAATTTGATAGAAAGTGTCAGTTGTTTGAGATGGATTTCCCATGTGTGTCACTCCTGACTTTCTCACCCTTCCCTCTGGGCATTGGAAGATGGTTTCAACAGAAACTCTTAGAAATGGTGGCCAGCGAGAATGAGACTAAGAGACCAGCAGTATTATCTTAAGAAAAAGTCATTCCAATCTGCCTGGGAAGGGACTACGGAATGTGAATCATCTGGAGCTGGGGAGATAGAGCAGTGAATCCACAATTTGGTTTTGCAATCATTCTAAGTCATTGTTCTGATTAATATTTTCATTTTTCTCTTAATGTTTTTCCTTAAATTCCCTCTATGTTTTTCCCTGGTGTTGAGGGGGCTAGAGGACAGAAAGCATGAGCTAGTTGTCATTCATTTAAGGAATTTTAAAGGCCAGTGTTGTGGTGTAGCTGGTTAAACTGCTGCTTGGAATGCCCACAACCTGTAGCAGAATGCCTAGGCTTGAGTCACATCTCTACTTCCAACTCAAATTTCTAACACACTTTGGCAGACAGCAGGTGATGGCTCAAGTAGCTGGCTTGCTGCCACCCATGTGGGACACCCAGGTGGGGCACCCAGGCTCTTGGCATTGACCTGGTCCAGCCCTAGTTGTTCCAATGCATTTGGAAAGCAGAACAGTGGAGGAAGATACATTGTTTTCTTTCTGTTGCTCTGTTTTCTTTTCTTCTCTCTTTTGATTTACTTTTATTTGAAAGGCAGAATTACAGAGAAAGGGGAAACAGAGAAAGATCTTCCATCTGCTGGTTGACTCCCTAATTGGCCACAATAGCATAGCTTGGCTGATCTCAAGCTAGGAGACAGGAGTTTATTCTGGGTCTTCCTTGTGGGTGCAAGGGCCCAAGGATCTGGGTAAACCTCCACTGCTTTCCCAGGCACATCAACTGGGAGCTGGATTGGAAGTGGAGTAGCTGGGCCTGAAACAGGCGTCCATAGGGATTGCTGGTCCCTCAGGTGGAGAACTAGCACGCCATGCTATGCTGCTTACTCCTGTTGCTCTACTTTTAAATACACAAGCAATAATAATAATAATAATAATAATAATAATAATAATAATAATAATAGAGTGGGTAAATAAATCATAACTAATTCCTGCAATAATCCATTCTAGGAATTTGTGTTTGCCATTGCTTTAAAAAAAAAAAAAGATTATTGAAAGACAAAGTTAGAGAGAAGGACAGACATCTTTCATGTAGTAGTTAATGCCCCAGATGGCCACAAAGGCCTGTGGTGGACTGCTAACGAATCCAGGTTTTAAGAAACTTTTCTTGAATCTTTCACATGGGTTCAAGGGCCCAAGGATTTAGGTCATTCTCTGGTGTTTTCCCAGGCGATTAGCAAGGAGTTAGATTGAAAGTAGAGCAGCCAGGACAGGAACCAGCACCCCTACAGAGTGCCAACGCCACAGGCAGAGACTCAGCCTTCTTTACTACTGCACTTTGCCTTTGCCTTTATAAGATAGTCCGATTATTGTAGCTAGCTGGGAGAAACTTAAAGAGGATTTTAATTGCTGTGGGCTTGAGAACCCATATTTTTGTCTATTTCTCCTTTTTTGATTACAGCCCTCAAATAGTAACTGTACATACAAGAAATCAAAGGCTAGAGGAAGCAGGTACATGCAGGACTTGCCAACATGGTGTTCTGGTGTAGAGTTTAACACTGAGTGTTAGTGTCCGGGCTTCTTAAAACAAGATCTGTATCACGCCACAGATCCATAAACAGGAAAGATTCAGTACCTGGAGGGAAATATGGAGTGCAGGCGAGTTCATGTTCCAACAGGAATTTCCAGAAAGAAAAACACTCTTAGCTTTCCAGGATATTAAGCTAAAATTTCAGAGAATATACACATTTGGTTTGGGGCATGCATTGCTCCTGGTTTATAAAAATAGTACTGAGATGACTCATGGAAACAGCTAAGTGTCCTTCAACTTACTACATATTTGAAGCTAATTATTAACTAGCAAACGCTTCTTAATTTCTGAGCAGAGACTACACCATCCTTTTGTAGGTTTATGTTTGCTCCAGAGTTGTAGTGAAAGCAAATTGAAGTAAAAATACAAAGCCTTGGAAACATTTCCGTGTATATCAGATTTTATATTTATTAGCATATCTGGATGCAGAGGAGTGTACTATGAAAAGCCTAGGACTTGGAAACACAAGCTTTGGATTTGAATTTCACCTCTGTTTCTTTGTATGTGTAGAGCTTGGTTACAGCAAAAATGAGATCCAACCAAGATATGACTATTTTTTTAAATTTATTTGTTTCACTTGAAGTCAGAGTTACAAACACAGAGAAGAAAATATACGAGAGAAGTTCTTACATCCTCTGGTTTACTCCCTAAATGGCTGCAATGGCCAGAACTGGGCTTGTTCAAAGCTGGGAGCCAGGAGCTTCTTCCAGGTCTCCTATGTGAGTGAGAGGGCCCAAGGCTTGGAGCCATCCTCTGCCACCTGCCCCGGCTATACGCAGGGACATGAATCAGATGTGAAGTAGCTAGGACTCAAACCAGCACCCATGTGGGATGCTGGCATTGCAGACCAGGATTAGAATGCTATGCTACCAAGTTGGCTCCTGAAAATATATATATATATATATCCTGAATATATATATATAATATATATATCCTGAATATATATATATAATATATATATAAAATATATTTTTAAGTAGTTCAAAGGATCAAATTCAGTGGCTTATTATTACAATAAATTTTTTCAATTTCACTTTCTGTCACATTTAGTTTTTGTGTAAACAACTCATACATTTTTAGTTTTACATTCTTTCTGGAATAATTACTAGCACAAGGACAAATTCCTTTTCTGATCACCCTCTCACATGTTTTTACTTTTCATTTATAAGAACTAATTTGATAATTTGAGTGATCAGCTGAGTACAGGGCTTCTGGTCTCAGAAACGCCACATCTCTTCCTATAATTCAGTTGTATCACAATTTACCTACTGATTATTGACAACAGTGAGCAATGATGTCCTTACTGGGACAGCAAACATTTTCAAGTGGCTGAACACAGCCAGCATGGTGGCAGCTTCAGAGGTGCCAGCTGTGTTCAGCTCCATGAAAGAACTCATGATCTGGGCTGTTAGATCATGACCAATGTCCAAACTAAATCAGTGCATGGAAAGAAATGCAGGAGGAATTAGAAAAGGAGTATGTGATTCGGTATGACTCTGGCACAGCCAGCGAGCCAGAGCCCTTAGTCAGTGGTTCTGATGATCGAGGCAAAAAGGGTGGGGGGTCCCAGTGTGAAGGTTCTCAGACGTCTGTGTGTGACGTGGTAGTACACAGGTGCTCACGGGGAGATTCAGGAGCTGTTGGCTGGGAAGATGGCTTGGAAGTAGGCTATCCCAAGAGGACTCATTCATTTTATAGGTCGTGAGAAGCTATTAGACTTGTTGGGCTGCAAAGCAAGATCAAATCCTTGAGGACAGAAAGACCCTGAGCCTTCCAGCTCTGCCTGTCCTCTGGGAAGGGTTTCCTTCCGCGACTTGTCTCATGTGCATGTTCCCTTTTTGCCAGCTGTAAGAGTCTTTGCAAATCTTTATTTCACTTCCTTCTGAGCACCCTCCTGCCTTGTTTCCACCCTCCCTTTTCCTTCCTTATTATTTTGTTCATTTTTAAATGACATAATTTCAGCTCTCTTAACAATCACAGGCTTAACCCTGCACTAAATAAAGAAATCAATAACAAGCAAGTAGGAAGAAAAAAAGAACATTGTTCCTTAAGACTATAGGCGAATCCTATAAATAATAATCAAATCTCAAATGTTCGTTTGAAATCTGATTATTTTGCTTTCAAATTGTAACAATCACTTCACATCTTAATGTAAAAGTCACCGTTCTCACATAGACCCCAGCTGAACTACTTTTCCGGTCGGTCCAACCTCACTCTCCCTGTTCTGGTCATGAACCTCCTTGCTTTCTTTCAGCACTAAGTGCTTTCTTCCCTTCAGGCTTTTAAATGCTGTCTCTTCCATCCAGAAAACTCTTCCTCCAGACAGTTTCACTTTCTTTATTTTTTTTTATTCGAATGTCATCTTATCAGAAAAACTCCATCTAACTATATCCTGTGCACTGCTTTGTTCTTTGCAGTATCTGATCTGAATTTATTTTTTTTATTCATTTGTTTGTTTTATATTTCCCCTCACTATCACAGAACTTTCCAAGGGAAGAAACTTTATCAAATCTATTAACTTATTTCCAGTACCTACAATAATGCAAGTGTGAATGAATCAGGAGATGAGTAAACTCAAGACAGGTGGCAGAAATTGGCTGGCGATTCAAGTAACCCATTCCTTCTTTCATGTTCATCAGCACC